ACACACACACACACACACACACACACACACACACACACACACACACAAACGCTAAGAGCCAGGGGCCGAGCAGTGGAACCTGTGAGCCTGTGGGGACATTTCACTTCAAAACTGTAACAGTAGAGAATAGAGTCTGCCGTCTGCTGGAGTAGAGGCTATTGCAATCGCCAGACAGCAGCAGATCTGTCTCCTTAAAGAAAAGGAGATCATAAAACCGGAATGTTTCGTGTAGTCACAAAAGCTAAAACAGACAGAAAGCAGCATTTCATAAAGCCATCAAACTGCAAACAAAGATGATAAAAAAAAGAAAGAAAGTACTCACAAATGCACCAGAAACAGTGAACACAGCTTCACTAGTGTGTTCTACCTTTCGGGAATTCCCTTGAACATAAATGGATTAAATTCAATCTAAAAAATACAGACTGGCTGAGCTGCATTTCACAAGGAAGCCAAGTGTATGTTGTTTGTGGGACTCGCTTCACTTATGAGCGCGTGCGCAGACTGAGAGTGGAAGGCTGAGAACAGACACCCCATGCGATGAACACAGGGACAGCAACGCTTAGACAATAGGCCTTAAGTCAAAAGCAGTGAGGCGAGAAAAGAGGGCAATTGCAGAGCAATGCCATGGAAGGAGGCTTTAATTTCCCACCTTTGGGCACACCAAGATCCTCCGGACAGAAAAGAGTCATGGAAATTTTAGATTTCAATTATGCTTCATACTAAACAAACGTTAAGAGACCTATGCAGAACATCCTTCTTAATAGCAATAGGACACACAAGACGTTGGGTGTCTACACAGCTGAAGTCTACCACAAACTAATTCGAATCATCCTCAGCTTCTACAAAAATCAATACAAAGTGAGAGCATTTGTAAAGGGAATCACCTGAGTTAAGGCTGATTGGCTGATCAGAGCTGCGATTGTGGAGGGCTGGAAAGTACAGGTCCACAGCAAGATTGCCCTGGGCAATCTACATACGACCTGCCATTATGGGGATCATCAGGTAAAATCCTCTCGGGAATGAGCAAGCAGACACCTCTACTAGCTCAAAAGCTAAGTATCTCACTAGAAAATACCTGAGGCCCATCCCAGAGACTTCTCCATTTTACTGTAACGTGCATGCTTGATAATTTTGCATCATAAATTTCAGAAATACCTTAATTTATGATTTTTCTTTGTTCTTTTACTGTGAAAACCTCACAAAGCCATTACCACATTGGAATGTAACACAAATCTGTGTCCCCAGGTCATTTCCATCCATAGTTAGGTCTAGAATCTGGAGTAGTTTTATTATCTATCTATCTATCTATCTATCTATCTATCTATCTATCTATCTAT